TGGATCTGTTTTGAGCAGAGTTTCGCACTCCACAAACAGAATTCTCATCCAGTTGTCGCAGGTTATCAGTTGTTCGGGCAGTCTTTCGAGATGCTTAATCGCAATTGGGGCAAATGTGGCAGGCCTCCCGGGACTGTGGACCACTAGAACTTCACCGGCGTCCGAACAAAAATGTCGCACGATGCTTTAAAACTGTAGAGAATTGAAGTTGTGGCAATTCAACCGGGAACTTAAACGACGAACGCCAATGACTGACGGTTTCGGTCGAAGTCCGCCGACATCTGAACTTCAAGCAATGCGGCAAGGGTCGTGTGGTCCGCTGTCGCTTTGGACATGAACTTCATGCAATGATGAACAGTTTCGGTCGAAGTCTGCCGACATCCGAACTTTACGCAATGCGGCAACGGTCGTGTGGTCCGCAGAAAACGAGTGAGAGGTCCAAATTCATTTGCACTAACTGAGGGTTTCGTGTTGCGCTCTGCCAAGATAATTTTCGTGTTCGTGAGTATGACGTGCCTCGCTGCCCTTCCCGCAATAATCTAAGTTCGGATCCCGGCGGATTACGGTTGTTTCCACGAGAATGATGGCCGCATGACGTGTTTCCCCTTTGCAAACATTGTTCGCGTTGCTTGGCGGGGCTTGTTAAAGGGCTTCGTGTACGAAGTTCACCGTAATCTGAACTTCTTGGTTTTGGAACGACGTAATGTGGACGACGTGTGCAGTAAAGTGTTTCCCGTCTGTGTTTGTGATGCTTTGTTACCGCCTGCGTTGTGGTTTGACTGTGACTTGACTGTTTCAGCTTTGGTTTTCTCGAACCTGACAGCGTGGTGGTTTGCTTCATTTGCGTTGTCGTCCGCAGACACGATGTCTTTGTTAAGGGGCGAGGGGGAGCCTGTTGGGACCTTCAGGGTGGAATCTGGAAAATATTCCACAAAACGGTCGTCTACGACCTCGAAATCGTGGTCGGACCACTCTAGGTCGAAATGGTTCATCGACTGGTGCGGTGGGGATGCTTCGAACCCCGTTAAACAGCTGTGTCGTCCTGTCATCTTCGTCGACGCCAACAAGCGGCGTAGGGTTCTGGGGCCGTCTTGTGGTGGGAGGACGCGAAAGGCAGTCGTCGACTGTTCTATATGAAAAATGTTTACGGTGCGACGGGCAATGTCGTCTCCAATTCCAAGGGGGCGCTACAGGACATGGATTTGTTCGAGAGGTTCGGAGCGGGTGCTGTGAACACCCCATTCTACAATGACCTCCTGCGGCAGGGTGGGTTTGTTTTGGGTCGAGAGTTTTTTAACTTGTTGGAGGAGAAGGATGTTGGCCTCGACGTCCCCTGCGACATCGGCCCCGCCCAGGAGCTGTCAATGCCCTTGTAGTTGTGCGGCGATTGTGAATCCAGCGGGGCCGCGTTTGAGGGGGGGGATCTGGGTTCCAGTGCGGCTACTCAGCTGCAGCGGGTGAAGAGCCGCGGTCAATTTGACGACAACGAAGATGACGCAACACTGCTTCCGACGTTTTCGCCGTTGATCCCAAGAGACCGGTCCGTACAGTCTATACCTGGGGTCCGGCAAGCAACCTCGGTTCCACAGGAGGTCGCAGTGGATCCCGGAAAGGCGGCAATCCAGTGTGGGCTCGACTTGGAGACTGCCAAGGGCCATGGCACGGAGGACGAGACCGTGGGTGGAGAGGGAACACAAGGCGCTCTGCAAAAAAGAAGGGGAGATCGTCAAGACGACTTGGTCGGCTCTTCGAAGAAACAAAAGACCAAGGCCCCGAAGAGTGCGGGGGAGAAACGGAAGGGAACGGGGGGGGAACATGACTGCCCGGGTAGCAAACGTCCGGCTTCGAGATAGAAGCAGCCTGCGTCGGGACCTCCCTCGCCACGCCCTGCCATCGATGTGGACGCCGGGTACTTCCTGGAGTACAAAGACGGTGTCAGGACAAGGCGGGAGTTTGAGATTAACCCGGCTCAGGTCGTCGACCTCGGGGAGTGCACTCGCGGTTAACGACCACTTGAAATTTCAGAATGAAAGATTCTGAAGTGGTCTGAAACCGCTGAAATGGCCTGAAGACACTTCAGGTCATTTTCAGAAGTTTCAGGTGGTTTGCAGGACAGGTTTTCTATTTTTTTTTATTTTTTTGTTGCCTGTTTTTTCAGCCACTTCAGGTCATTTCAGGAATTTCAGGTGGGGACATGAAACCGCTGAAGTGGCTGAAGGTTCTGAAAGGGGTTTCAGGTACCCCCATCCAACCATTTGGATGGGGGTACCTGAAACCCCTTTCAGAAGCTTCAGCCACTTCAGGTCATTTCAGGAATTTCAGGTGGGGACCTGAAACCGCTGAAGTGGCTGAAGCTTCTGAAAGGGGTTTCAGGTACCCCCATCCAAATGGTTGGATGGGGGTACCTGAAACCCCTTTCAGAAGCTTCAGCCACTTCAGGTCATTTCAGGAATTTCAGTTGGGGACCTGAAACCGCTGAAGTGGCTGAAGCTTCTGAAAGGGGTTTCAGGTACCCCCATCCCACCATTTGCAATGGATCTGTAGGCAATTTGAAAGTGATGTATCAACCTGAAGTGGCTGAACTGCCTAAAGGGGGTTCCAGACAACCCCATGTATAGATCCACACACAATCTGGAAGTGGTGTAGTAACCTAAAGTGGCTGAACTGCCGTGAAAGGAGACCTGAAAATATATGCACCAGTTAACCATCTCTCCGGGAGTGGGAGGATCTGTACAACCAGCGGTTGATCCCGTCCTGGTTTAAGGGATAATAGAAGCGATGCGGTTGGCGTTCGAAAACAAAAAACAGTCGTACGAGTTGCGAACCCTGAAGCTCGCACCGCTGGGGTTGCAAAAACCAACTCCCTGGAACAAGGCACAACGTCTGAAGCCGGAGGAATGGAAGGACGAGCTGGCGGGACAATACTACTACTATGCGGTGTGTGGACAACATAACGCGGCTGCGGCCCGATCGCTGTTCGGCAGCGAGGTGGCCAAGAAGTACAATTTCGAGTGGTGGGTGGCACGAATGGTGTACTTTTCGGACAATGACTTCGAAGGGTATTTTCTTGTTAGTTCCCAGGACAACAAGAAGGACCTCAAGGCACCTCCTAGACAGTTGAAACTGTCTATGAAAGACATTCGGTGGCAGTGGAAACATGACAGTTTCCCTAGAGTTGTCATGAGGAACCCTAGCGGAAAACAAGATCAGGGGTGGAAATGGCGTGAGTTTTGTATAGTGGCGCTCCATAAGGCGCCGTACTACAACTTGTGGATTCTCGCGGATCAAAAGGGAGAGGACGCCATTAAGAAGCAAAATGCTGCCCTGCGTTCATATTTCCTTTTGGCGATGGCCGGAGAAAATGTCTGGAAACTGGCGATGGATTTTAAAAAAAAATGGGAGACGGGTAGATTGTTGGGCCACAACGGAGCAAAGTGGATCGTCAAGAAGAAGAAGGTCAAAAATGTCAAGCCTGGGGTCGCCTACATCGACAACAACAAGTTGGGCAGAAAGGAGGTGGTATACAACGTCCCCGTGGAGCCGCCGACTAAGAAAGGCAAAAAGGAGAAAGAGGAGGGCGATTGGTTCGTGCAAGTGTCGGAGTGGGACACGCATTGTTGGAAAGCGATGGAAACACTCACCGACAATGAGAAGTGCCGCGTTCTGAAGAAGGTGCTTGCTTGCGAGGTCGTTTGGGTCCAGAACGTCTCCCCGTCGTTGGCGAAGCTGGGGAAGCTCAGCGTGCAGGACATGGTGCGGTTGGTGAAGTGCGACCACGTGCTGGTCCGGTTGTGGAATTACTACCAATTCAAGCACGAGAAGAGGTCGGACGCGGATTGGATCCAAAAGTACCCTTTCCTGAAATCGAAGTCTGCCATGTTCAAGAAGCTCGAAAGTCGGGGATTGGATGACAATTTGTGGAACGGTAGCAGGAAATACGTTTCCGACTCGGCGCTGTTCAAGGACTGCCCGCCGTACATGGATTGCGAGGAGGACCACTTGATCGAGGCGACGGAAAAGTTGGCGGGCCACAGGAAGTTGACCGTCGACTGGAGAAACAAGGTTCTCTCCGTGTTGACTGGGAGTAGACTGAAGAGCCGGGAGATCGCACTTGCCGAAGACATTGTTCACATCAAATGGAAAGACACGGGGGACGTGACATCCATCGCGCTGTTCGACAATGACCCTTTGGAGGCCGACATCAGGAGTGCAGAGCTGAAGGAAGCAGTGGCTACCACAAAGAGCCACACGTTTGTCCTCGATCTGTGCGAGCCGGTTGACCTCAAGCTGTGGAAACCGCAAGGGTTCGAGACTTTGAATTCCTATCTTCAGACCGTCGCATTGGACTCTCGTTGTTTTCGTGCCACAACAGCACAACCTCTCGTTTCTGGCCAGTATGCACCATCTTTCTTTCATAAAGCTACTGGAAGGGAAGTGGGTGAGGAGGAACCAGCAAAAGAAAAGCTTCCTCGTGGGGAACAATTTGTACACGGAAGATGACCTCATGTACATCCTCTTCAAGGGTAACGATCTGCGCGTCAACACGTCCGTGGTCTATGAGGGAAGGTTGCCTAAGGGTGGCGCTGTTGTGGTGCGGTTGCCTCAGAGGGTTACCCAGACGGATGTGTCGTAGATTCCCTTCATGCCTTGCGACTGGTCGCAGACCGCGCCAGAACGACAGGGCAGTGTCTACGGGGATATGGAACACAATCCGACACAATCCGTCGGTCTTCTTGATTTCCTAAGCAAGAAGGAAGAGGGTGTCGTCTTCCTTGGGAAACCGCACGCGCGAAGCGTGTGGGAACTTCTGAAGGCAGGCTGGCACGTTGTCGGGATGGAAGGGAACCCAAGCCTCTTGCAATTCACGATGCAACTGGTCAAAAGCGAGGTCAATTCGGGGGCCCACAATTACAAGTTCATGGTCGTGAAGACGACACGGGATCGGGTGTGGAGCAACAAGACGGAAATGTGGTTCAAGTTGAGCGAGAGGAAGAGGAATAAGATATATGACTTCTTGTTCCTTCAAACGCGGCCGAGGAAGGACACTGACGCAGAGTACGTCCGCCGCAGGGACCACATGTTGGCATTGTTTGACAACCACCACTTCGCCTCCCGCATGAACGCGAAGACCTTTCTCGAAAGGCTGCAGTCGCTGTATTTCATGGAGTCCGAGGAGCAGTTGAAGTTAGGCAGCTACGCTTCCTTGATCTCCACTGACGATGAGGTAGCCACCGGTATGGAGTTCGACGCCAACGCGAAGGAGGAGGAGAGGGACACCAAGAGCCTTGACCTGCAGTATGACCCACCTCCGGCGGAGCACGCTCGAGGGTCCTCGTCGGCCGGTCCGTCATCAAGCTCGGCACCCCTCGTGTCACCGACGACCAGACCGGCGCCGGGCACTACGCCGATGAAGTTGTTGGAGAGACTCAGAGCTTTGGCCGTCCCCCCGCACGCATTGCGTCCTGGGTCCGACGTTCCGCCCGATAGTCCGTCTTGGAAGGATGACAACATCCACTTCCTGCTTGAGCCACAAAGTCATTCGCCTGAGGTGGACTGGGCCATGACATGATTTGGCATCCACGAGTCGTCCAGCCAGCGATACAAAAGGGCAAGTGGGTCATGGCCGTCGCAGTCCCGGGTGCGGGATGGGTGTCAATCCCGCGCGAGTCGAAGTCCAACTTCCTGCACCTCACGAGGATTTCGGTCCTCCAAAAAGTGAGGGCCGAAAATGACACGTTTGCACTCGACGACCTGTCCGTCGTTTCCGTAGCCGGGCGAATGTTCGACGAGCTTCAGGACAAGTGCTGGTTGGAAATGACGAAGGACTACTACGAGCTCGACACAAGCCCGTCGAAGGGTGTGGTAGACTGGAAAGTGCCCCCTCCCAGTGGGGCGCACGGGAGTTCCGGGGGGGGGGCACCTGGAGGTGGAGGGGACGGGGGTGGTAGTGGGGGGGGTGGCAAAGGAATCCTGCCTAGTGGGGAGGGAGGGTCTCACGGCGGCACCACGACACCCAGAGGCAGCGGTGGGGTGGCGGATTTTGTCGTCGATCGGCATCCGTCTACTGGCCCCTGGCCGGAGCACACGACACAGTCTGCCGACCTCCCGACTTCGTCCGTGGGCTCAGTGAGGGAGACGTTGGCAGCCTTGGTTGCTCTCGGCAACCGCTCCGGCGGAACGTTGAAGTCCGCGGGGATCCGAACTACGTCGGTTGAGGAGCCGCCTGAGCAGTCCGCTCTGCAGAGCCGCTCGCTAGGATCCCACAATTGGCAGCGGTGCGATGAGGGACGCAAATGCGTCGCCTGAGCAGGAGCGACGACCGCTAGGATTGCAGCGAGAGGCTACAAGTGCAGGGTCCGGCGACACGGAGACGACGAAGCCCGCCGAGATCCGAACTTCTTCAGGCGGGGGGTGTCGGCCAGGGATTGTCGTGCCGCCGAGAGGGGCAGCATGCACGGAGACAGAAGGGTGGTCCTCGGGATTCAACACGGGTATCGGGAAAGGGGCTGAATTGCATGGAAAGGAAGCAGGGGAGGAAATGGAGGAAGGGAAGGAAGCGCAAGAAGGGGAGGAAGAAGGGGAAGAAGGGGAGGAAGGGGAGGAAGGGGAGGAAGAGGGAGAAACGGAGCTCATTGAATTGCTTGAAGGAAGAGAGGATGCGAAAGGGGACGTGAGTTTTGGAGACGACGAAGGGGAGGACAGTGAGGACGATGTCGGATCTGGAGAGTTGTCTGACGAGTTCGGACAAATGTACGGAGAGCATCACGAGGATGATGTCGACGACGATGCCACGACAATGGAGATGGAGACACAGGTGGTTAGCAGCCTTTCTGTAGAGCATGAAGAGTATGAGGTCCAACCACTTATGTCTGTCGTCGATTTGCAACACCGGTTCGACGAGGCTTCCGTTGCTATGAGCCCGTCTATAGCAAGTCGTCGTATAAGCATCGACGAAGTTATCGACGGTATCCTCAACGACCAGCACCTGTTCGCGCATCCGTCCACAACGCCTGACGTCGACGATGCTGGCAACGTCACATCTTCCGTGGCAGCTGCCCTCGCTTCCTTGTCGTCGAACTTTCCGGTACTGCCGGCCACCCTCACCGGCGGAGGGGAAGGCGAGGTCAGGAGACGACAACATGTCACGTCCCCTAAAAAATCTAGGGTCGACAGTCAAGCTATCGACGTGCTCGCTTTGGCACCGACGAAGGAGCGGAGAGACAAACCGACTGGTAAGCCGTGAAGAATGCCACATTGTCTGCGCGCCCAGGATTACGAAAACGAAAGAGGGAATTCATCCGTAGTCCGAATGTCGGTGGACTACAGTCCGCGCCATACACACGACGATTGTCCACACTGTTTGTCGATACGGGAAGTTCCGGATGCCAACATATTACAGCCACCAGTCCTTTTTTTTTTTTTTTTTTTTTTTTAATGAGAACAAAACTCCAATCTATTTGTGGGGAGCAACACGTGCTGGGAACCGGGCCCAGTGGCCCATATAGAAAATTACATAGGATTTTGAAAAAAAATTGAGAATTTGCAGTACCGGGGCCACTTCCCGGCTTTGGCTAAAGCTAGATTAAGGAACACAACAAACTACCGAAAAAAAGCAAAAATTCAGGAAAAGACTCAGACCCCCCTAACTATATCTCATCGGCTTTTCTGTGAGTCAGTCGGGTTGCTAGTCGCGGGCAACGAAAACTTCATCGAAAACATAACACTCCATCTAAGGAAGGATCTATCCTTCTGTGAAGTGTGTTTTTATTAACGTATTCCCTCGCAAAAGTCTCCCCGACTAAGAAACTGGCCAAGTAAATGGACTGACGGTTTTTCCTTCTCGGAAATAGTGTCGGTTTTAGTCCGCCCGGATCCGAACTTGCTATGTCGATGCGTAATGTGGTCAGTCTTTGTGGGCCTGCTGTGTTGAAAAAGTCTGCCGCAATCCGAACTTCGGGGAATGTTGACCTTCCGCTTCTGTGAGTTGTGGTGGTTTTCCTTTGTGAAGGGCGGGGGTGTTAAGCTCATATGCGGCAGTCGTTTTATTTTCCAACCGCACACACGCACCTCGGTGCTCATGACCACGCAAAAGCAGGGTCCTATAATCGGAGAGGTCATGCGTGACTATTGCGTCTGTACGATTGTATGGTTCTCACATTGTCACTTCCGTCGGATTCGTGTTTGGAAATGTGTACTCACTTTCCGTTCTGTCTTTCTTCTGTTGTACAGGTGTGGGGTCATCTCGAACACGGAGGTCCTCGAAATATCCAGAACATATATTGTAGAAAATCCTCGGGTTGACGACAAAACACAAGGATATGTTAAAGGCATCAGGGGTTGATGTCGAGATCGGGAAGAAGGAGCACGCCGTCATTGAGAAATGTCTTTCCCTTCTGGCCCCAGAGAAAGGGACATATCCACGATCTATGAGTAGGGGTCAAACCATGTATGAGAAATACTTAGCAGCGCGTCATGCAACGGGGGACGATGCCAAGAACTCCGTTTCTCACTACCCCACGTGTCCTTTGCTCGATGTTGTGCAGTGCAGGCCATAACACGTGGAACACTCGAGAAAAGATTCGTTGCAGCGACTGCGCCTCGAAGCTTGCGGATTTTGGACGGCATTAAACGAGGCTCGGTGTCACCTCACACTGTTCTCTCTATCCTGGTCAATGGTCAATTTCGAATTGCAGCAAAAGATCTCCTCACCCTTCTGCATATCGACAGCAGGGTGAATGATGAGGTGATCAATTTGTATATGGCGCTGTTGGGGTCGACCGCATGTGGATCACGTGACATCTCGTCAGGCCTTCAAGTCTTCAGCTTTAATTCGTTTTTCTTCAGTAAACTGCAACTTCAAGGACTCGGTGGGGTGCAGAGGTGGGCTAAAAATGTAGATTTGGTTCAATACGATATTATCTTCGTTCCGGTCCACAAAGATAATGATCACTGGATCCTCCTTTCCGTCAACTTGAGAGATAATGTTCTCAAAATTTTTGATTCTTTTCCTCGCGTTGTAGCTGATTCGAGTTTTACATTAGTGTTTTCGAGTTGATTGTACAGTATTTGAAACGTCAAACATCACATAGGCGGCCGGGTAGGAATTGGAAGTCGATGGCGGAAAATGTTGTGGTGGATGGAGTTCCGAGACAAGTGGATGGAGCTAGTTGCGGGGTGTTCATGTTGATGTTTGCGACGTTGTTGCAACGTGGTGATCGACCGCCTTTCAGGTTCTCTTGCAAAGATATCTCGCTTATTATACGACAATTGGCATCATGTATCTTAGAACGTCGTTGTCTTTGATGGATTTGAATGTCAAACATCACATAGGCGGTCGGCTAGGAATTGAAAGTCGATAGCGAAAAATATTGTGGTGGATGGAGTTCCGAGACAAGTGGATGGAGTTAGTTGCGGGGTGTTCATGTTGATATTTGCGACGTTGTTGCAACATGGTGATCGACCGCCTTTCAGGTTCTCTTGTAAAGATATTCCGCTTATTAGACGACAATTGACATCATGTATCTTAGAACGTCGTTGTCTTTGATGGATTTGATTGACTTAGAACTTTTTTTGAAGATATTTCATTTGTTGATGATTATATTTTGTAAATCATTACATTATTCAACTGTCGTTTTGACAACGACATTGCTTTCTTTTATCATTGCAAGTTTGAGTTGTCTTCGGCAGACTCATTGGTCAGTGGATGCATTGATTGACAAATTGGTCGGTGGATGCATGACAAATCTCATCTACTTTGTGAAAAATCTCAGCGAGTGGATGCATGACAAATTGGCCAGTGGATGCATTAATAAATGTAAGGACCACTGGCATCATGTCTCTTGCGTGTGCATAAAATCATATGCCATGTGACCACGTGCATTATATGTATCCAACAACTTTGCGTCCGTACCCAAACCTTATGTGCATGGTCATTTGAAGTGCGGATTTCGATCGTGAATGAGCAAAATTTGAAGTTTTAGACTTGTACATAGAATGGAAAAATTAAGTGGTTGTTACAATACACCTTGCTCATCACAACTGTAGACAAGTATGGATCTTAGTGCCCTCATGTCGGGCGAGATGATGAGCGTGCCTATATGCGGAAGTCCGGATCTCTTCAACATCCAAACAACCGTCTCGGGCGAGACGATAGGTATGCTTGCACAACTCAGGGATAACCTAGTAAAGAAAATTTAATGCGTTATCCAACAACGGTTCAATCATGACACCTTACTCATCACATTTATAAACTTTAAGTTTAACAAGTATGGATCTCAACACACTTCCGCACACTGTCAGGGTTCCCATACGGGCGTGTCTGTCATTATACTAAGTCTTCTAAACAAGTCCGGATCTCATCAAACATCCAAACAACCGTCTCAGGCGAGACGATGGATCTGCCTGTATAACTTTGGGATAACTGAAAGAATTATACTGTCCAATTCAATCTGAGTACATTGCTCATTATTTTTTATAAAGTTCAACAAGTATGGATCTCTGCACACTTCCGCATTTAGGGCGAGTGGATGGGCGTGCCTACGTGGAAACGCTGCAGCCAAAAATGAATTCGTTAGAAAGAGGACACAATATAATGTCTTGTTTTAACGAATAACATATTGTTTGTAGTAGTCTACTTAGATGATATTCTAGTGTTTAGTAGGACCCTCCAGGAGCATGAGGGTCATCTGAGGCAGGTCTTGGAGAAGCTGAGAGAGGCCAACTTCAAGATCAATGCAAAGAAGTGTGAATGGGCAAAGACCCAAGTTTTGTATTTAGGCCATGTCTTAGACCGAGACGACATTAAACCAAAAGATAGCAAGATCGCAGCGATTAGGGATTGGCCTACGCCCCGCACGTTGACAGAGTTGCGGTCGTTCTTAGGCCTAGCTAACTATTACAGGAAGTTTGTAAGAAACTTCTCCACCATCGTTGCACCCCGTCGCAGGTTGCTGAAGAAAGAAATAATTTGGAAGTGGGACAAGGACTGCACGTCTTCCATGAAGAAATTGAAGCAGGCATTGAAAGAGTATCCAGTCCTTAAGATAGTCGATCCGTCCTTACCTTTCATTGTGACTAATGACGTGAACCAGTATGGTATAGGTGTTGTATTGCAGCGAGATGATGGCAGTGGATATAGACCCGTGGAGTGCATGTCTGCTAGGATGCCTTCGGAAAAGGTAGCGACATCCACCTACGAAAGGGAACTCTACGCTCCCATGCAAGCATTAGAACAGTGAAAGCACTACTTGCTTGAGAGGCACTTCAAAGTCTATTCAGACCACGAGACGTTAAGGTGGCTAAAAACTCAGTCCAGGATCACACCTAAGCTTACGAGGTGGGCCGCAGAGTTAGACCAATATGATTTTGAGCTCAAGCCAGTAAAAGGGAAGTACAACGTAGTTGCCGACACTCTGAGTAGGAGAGCTGACTACTTTGGAGCAATAGTTCATTATATGGATATAGGGAGAGACCTGCAATAGAAAATTAGAGAGGCGTATGCAGAGGACCCTATCTGTAGTGCCCTCCTCAAGAGAGTAAAGGAGCCCCCAGAGTCCGAACCAGATTACCGCACTACTGATGGACTGTTATTTGAGAAGACTAACGTAGTTAACCGATTGTGTGTTCCTAACAGTGAGGAGATCCGTAGTCTGATTCTAGGGGAATGCCACGACACCAAGGGACATTTTGGTTGGCAAAAGACTCTAGCCAACCTCATGCGCACGTACATATGGCCTGGGATGAAGGCCGACTGCATAGAGTATGTAAGGTCTGCCAGAGAACAAGACCTCTACACGTGCCCCTCTAGGTCTTCTCAAGCCCTTGCCTATTCCTGACCAGCCGGGGGACTAAGTGTCCGTTGACTTTATAAACACCCATGTCAAGAGTAGGCACAGCAAGAGCCAAGTCACGGTTATAGTTGATAGATTTAACAAGTATGCAGTTTTTGTTCCGTTGCCTGCGGAGGCACGCACAGAGTTAGTCATCCAAAAGTTTTTTTATCATTGTGTCAGTGAACACGGGATTCCGTTGTTTATAGTTAGCGATAAAGACACCCGTTTCACTAGTCAGACCTGGCAGGAGTTGATGAGAGTCTATGGGTCTAAGCTATTGATATCATCTGGCCGTCATCCAGAGACTAACGGGCAGGCTAAACAAATGAATAAGATCCTGCAGCAAGTTCTGCGTATGTACATTAGACCGGATCAAGTCAATTGGGATGAGATGCTCCCAAAGGTGGTCAGTGCATACAACAATAGCGTGCATTTAGCTACTTGTCGCACTCCCAACGAGTTGCATAAGTTTTTCAAACCACGTAGACCATTTGAAGGGCTTAACCAGGACCAGATTTAGAGGCTACCACCTGGAACTAGGGAGTTCGCACTTCAGCACGAGAAGGCATTAGCTACCGTTGTAGAGAACCTCAAGAAGGCCCGGCATCGGATGTTAGAGCAAGCCAACAAGCACCGTTGCCCGTCGCAGTTTCAAGTAGGCGACTTAGTCTGGGTCAAGTCTAAAGAATTTGCTCCTGAGGAGAACATCTCACAGAAGCTATTACCAGCGTACAGAAGACCGTGGCTAGTCCTAGAAGTCAAGGGCGGAGAGGATGGACCGTCCTACACAGTAGAAATCCCATCACACCTCCACACCTACCCCATGTTTCATGCGTCAAAGTTATTGTCATGCATCACAAGCCAAAAGTTTCCATCTCGAAGACCCATGATCCCTCCGGACATGGACGGAAGATACGACATTGACGGCATTGTAGGTAAAGACGTATTCAGAACAGGAGGTAGAGGTCGTCCACAGAAACAGTATAAGGTTCGATTTGCATATCAGGAACCCGAGGACGATCGCTGGTTTACTAGGACTGAACTTCTAGAATCAGCTCCCGACATAGTGAGAGCCTACGAGAGAGAAAGGAAGGGAAAAGGTACTGCCTTAGACTGAGCTATTCTTGGAGGACCTCGAATTTAGGCCGGCGGGAGTGAAACGATATTCACCTGTTAGCAGTAGGGGATGCAGGTCCCAGGGCTCGATCCCTAGTCCTCACTTTACCTGTGTACAATATTTGTGTCGACCCGAGTGTTTGAACCCGGGACCTGTGTTTTGAGAGTTGTTGTTGTCTGTCGTAGGTATGTGTAATGGTAGGGATTCGATTTGTAGATCTGTCAAGTAGGAGTCACAACCCTGTAGAGGTCGTAGTTGTAGGGATCCTGAAAGGTCAAGGTCATAGCTGCCACAGTACTCGAAAGGCCAAGTCAACAGACTTCCGGAAGGTCCGGAAGTGGCCTTTCGAAGCTGCCTCACGTTTTAGTCAGAGGCAAGTGGGCAAGTGGTGATCCCAGTTGCATTATGTCGGCAGTGCGATTGCATTGAGTTGGCAGTGCAAACCCACGCAGTCAGCGGTACTGGTCCAGTCAGTCCCAGTCCAGTCAAGCACGTACCATGAGGGACTGTGTGCACCATAGGCCTGGCGGAGAGGGGCAGACCAACGAGTTACAGAAGTATAAATCAAGAGACAGCGCCCAACCATTCATTCATTCGCTGTGTAATCCATGCGGAAGCGCTCCTACAGCGTCTTGTGCCAAGGTGGTCTGCAGGTTGCCGAAGACGAAGTGGGCTGAAGGGAGATCGTAGCCATAGCCAGTAGTGGTAGTGCTGCCATAGTCGCTGTAGGAGGAAGTGAGATTAAGTGTGTGTGTGTGGTGGTATTCAAGGTGATCCAGAGTGAGCATGTGTGAACAGTGGGGTTGGACACAGTGACGAAGGTTGGGATGTTCAGGCGCCGATGCGNGTGTGTGGTGGTATTCAAGGTGATCCAGAGTGAGCATGTGTGAACAGTGGGGTTGGACACAGTGACGAAGGTTGGGATGTTCAGGCGCCGATGCGCCATAGCCTGTTGAAGTGAACTTGMATCTGAACTGTGTTCTTGATTTCCGTATCTCTAAGCTTTGAGTGGGCGCCCTGCGCCGGTGTGAATCTCCATCTGTTTGCATGTGTGTGAAGTGGAAGTGAAAGCGAGTCTGATTGCAGCTGCTCTATGCCGTGCTATGATGTTCTTCGGTGTGTGAATTCGGGCTTGAGGGCCATAAGTTGTGCTATGCTATGTTTTGCTATGCTCCGCTCTGCTATGAGGTGTTGTTTTTTCTCTTTCTCTCTCTCTAGCATCCATGTTTGTGATATTTCTCTGGGCATCTTCCTTGATCAGAACTCTAAATCTCTGAGTCGCCAAGGGGGGAGGGGCGTGGGGGGAAGGGGGCGTAGCTCCCCCTCGCCCATACATAAGCATTGATTAAATGTCTTTGCCAGAATGTGTCTGGATCCCAACTGAAATTGAAACACTCTCAAGGGGCGTGGGGGGAAGGGGGCGTAACTCCCCCTCGCCCATACATAAGCATTGATTAAATGTCTTTGCCAAAGTGTGTCTGGATCCGAACTGAAATTGAAACACTTTCAATTATTATCTGTTAATCACATCTGGACAACTTGCTGTATTATGCTATGCGCTACGACTCCATGCTATGTTACAACGAGAACAGACTGGCACCAAAAAAAAAACACAAATGTCACAATCGACCCTCGGTCAAGGGCTCCTGCTCTGACATGTGACATATTGATTTCTATATGTTTCAGACATGCAAACCTGCAATGACACATTCACGACTTTGTCTGATGAGCAGCCCCGATAGATGATCTGTTGTACATCACCAGTCCTACATGTATTTGACAACTCTGATTGCAGATATGAATAGACCTACAACAGTTCATGCATGTGAACATGGCACACCGGCGCACGTGATTCAACTTTGCACCTGTTTAATCTACACTGCAACAATGTTTGCCCTCATGCGACATTGAGTCTGCAACAAACTGCCATCGGCATAGAGACACTCCTCAAGAAAGCATCCTATCCTCCGCACAGTGACTACTCTATCAAAATACTATGTGCGATACCCTTGTTGCTTTTACTTATTTCTGGTAAGTTGTCATCATACTGACACTATATCAAAATACTATGTGCAATACCCTTGTTGCATTTACTAATTTCTGGTAAGTTGTCAGCATACTGACAGCCGTAGGCTAAGTTGTCCTAAAAATACACTAAGATCAGAGAGCTCATCAGCGATTGCTGGTCAACCATTTGTGTTTAGAATGCATTCTAGTGGGTCATCCAAGGTCGCAAAAGTTGGCATTAGAGCTGCAATGCCATCTTTACCTGTGACTGAGGTGACAGTGGGCAGGGAGGAATACGCCTTTCGGCAAGCAGAGAATGGTTTTGAAATACTCAATTTCGATGAGAGGCTGGGGTCTAGGGACGTCAGCAGGCTCTATCCAGTTGTGTCAGCATGAGAGCAAGTTGTGAAGAAGGGCGAGACATGTGAAAGTGACAAGGAAGGGAAGGGTGTGGGGAGGGGGGTTTGCTATGCTACACTGTAATCTAGTATATTATGTTGACCCATCTATGCTATGTTTTGTACATGATATGTCATGTTATACCTCCATGATATGATGGCTATGTACCGCACGCTTAAACACGGAACTGGAAGGGGATTGAAGTCTGGCCGGTGCCGTGAGTTGTACCTCACGTGCATTCGGGTCGAGTCGAGTCGTACATCGGGTCATGGTTGATCCATGCTAGGGTGGGGTGAAATGTCCCTCACGGGGCTTCACTTTCATCCCAGCTCACTTTACCTATTGGTTAAGTGATCCACCTCTTTAGTGGTAGGTCATAGGTTCAATTCCTATTGAGTTGATCTTGGACTTCTTGTGTATAACAAGCACTCATGAACCGGTCGGATGCCCTTGCAGTAGTGCTTGGTTAAAGTCTGGCTGGTGTTGTGAGTTGTCCCTCACGTGCATTCGGGTCGAGTCGGGTCTGGGTACACCGGGTCATGGTTGATCCATGCTGGGGTGGGGTGAAATGTCCCTCACGGGGCTTCACTTTTATCCCAGCTCACTTTACCTATTGGTCAAGTGATCCACCTCTTTAGTGGTAGGTCATAGGTTCAATTCCTAGTGAGTTGATCTTGGAGTTCTTGTGTATAACAAACACGCGAGCATCATGTTTTCTCTGAATGGAATGTCTTATGCTATGCCCTTAAAAATAAGCAACTATGCTATGTACCTCACACTTGAACGGGAAACTGGCAGGGGGCGGGAGGGGTGTGGGGAGGGAAGGGCGGACCCGCCCAACCCCCATGCACAAGCGTCTCGGGCCAAATGCACACCCCTCTGGGGTTGAAGTCTCAGCTCTGACACAGATACCACACCAACAGAAAATGTTTTTCTAATTCTTTACAGTGCAATCAGTAAACTGCAAACAGATTTCTTGTGATTTCTTTAAAATGAAAATTATCATATCCCTTAAGGAGCATTGGTCGCGGGGGGAGGTCGATGGTCCGCTGCGCACCGGATTCGAGGTCGAAGTTTTGACGAGGGGCGGTGGATGAAGGCGATCCAAAGCGGGGGAGTGCGCAGAGGGGTGCGTATACCGAAATGTTCGCTGTGCACCACCAAACGAGAGAGCGAGCCCATGGGGCTGGGCAGCGTGC